TTTTGAAACGCTCCGTTTGAAAAGTGGAATGTTAAACGGTGGTTGGAATATGTGAAAATTTGATTATTCGTTAATTTCGTTTAATTCCGCGATATTCGTTCTCGACGTGCAGGGTAGAGGAGAGAATATTCTTTGGATATTAAGAGGATTTTATTATACGGTGAATGGGATGGGATATTAACTCTTCGAAGGGATGCGGGCACGCGTTATTTACAAACCTTATATCGGACGAGGTTTTTTTTTTTTTGAATCGTGGTTGAAGTGCGAGGGACATAAAGCTTAATTCGTTGTTTGCTTCGCGACGAGTTTGGCGCTGGCACACGTGCCGTGTCGTGCGACGAACGAGCGCGACGCAGTGTCATACGCAAGCACTCCATAGACAAAGGAAACTTTATACATCAATATCGATATTACAGTGTATTTTTACACGCTTTTCGATCAAAATATTTCTTCCCGTAACTGATACACAGAGGGTGTCTCGTTTGTAACGAACATCTGCAGTTATTTCCTCTGGTATCGAGAGTAAGAAAAACTTGTAATCGAAATCATTCTGTAGGAAGAAACAAAACCAACAAAAGGAAAGAATTCTATTTTCAATGTCCCTTTAAATCAGGCTCGTGTAAATCTTCAAACACTTCGTACACTTAAATTAAGAATTAATTTATATTTTAACACTTGCTAATTATTTATGTTGCAAAAGTGAGAAGATCTCGCAAAAGCGTAAGCGAACGTGAGCGTATTATCGTACTTACGTCGGATGCTCGATAAAAAGGGACACGTCGAGAAAAATGTAGACTTCCCGTTAGTTTCTTCGAGCAATCAATTTGAATTTTGTCCGTGGACATTGTATACTTTTATTGTTTGCCAGGTACGCGCATGCACGTACCGCGTATATTTGCGTCTCGGTCGAATAAAGCAGCGAGGAGTGTCGGCGAGTAATCTCGTTTCCGCTCGGTCCACGAAGTTAAACTCCGTGCGTTTGGACCCAGACTGGCTGGCTGTGTGTCCCCGTGTCCACATCGTTTCCCTTCGCCGTTCTCTTTCCGTGGAACCTCGTAACTTCAGAGGGGGAGTTACCCCGGACAATATATCAGTTTACAATGATAAAAAGCAAACACGGGAAATAACGCGAGGAATTACTGAACCAAACAATATGTCCCTCGTCTCTGGAGAGAGAGCTGGCGTATATTTCGACCGAGCAACCAGGCAGCATCCGACGGAGGGTGTGTGCCAACACATTTTCCTTACAATGCTACCACGATCCTCGTTTTATTTCGTAACGGGGCGATATGGTCACGGGTTAGGGCCGAGAATGGACTCATTATCACCCGTCGAAGGGGTCTGGTAATGGTCAAGTTGCCTCAATTATAGCGGTACGTTTCTTTCGTCGGGGATGAATTCCTCCAGATTGGCGAACTTCTCCGTCAACTGTTGATTTCGACAGGAAAATAACCTATTCCTAAATACTCCGTTTTATTTATCAAACGTGGACACTTCGAAGTGTACCATCTTTCGGAATAGAAAGTAGACGCTAGAATCGAAGAATGAATTTCTTCCATCGAAGATAGACCCGAAAAAATGTTGCCAGGTTGCAACTAGTGCCGAGGGTTGAGCATTATAAACGAATGGAACACTCGATTTCGCCGGGGAAAAAACCCGTGTTCCTCGTTTGAAGAGACAAGAGGCCATAGCCTCGTCGCGTTACCTCGAGGGATAGAGCGACAGAGAGGATGACTAAAAATTGGTACCCTCTTGCTCGCGGGTGCCTCTTGGTGGGTAGTACTCATGTAAGCAGTGACTAGTGAGGTAAACTCGAGTGTCTGAGGGGTAAGGGGGAAATGGAGTGGTCGTCGCCAGTGGGTGCAAGGAAAGGAGAGAGAGATATAGCAGTGAACCGGGCTATGTTACCTACGGGGGTCGGTAAAGGAGGGGATGGTTTTTCCTCAGTCTGAGCATTCCGTAGACGATATGCTTGCAGCTGAGCTTGGCTCACTTCGTCTTGGTTCGCAATGCGGCTTGTACGCCTTCTCTCTATGCACACACACGTATACATACATATGTATACACACCCTCTCTTTTGCTCTAGTTCCAACAACTGTCCTCCTCCTCCTCCTCCTCCTCCTCCTCTCTCTTTCTCTCACTTCTCTCGTTGCTTCCCTTTTTCTTCCCTTCCTTCTTTCTTTCCCACCTTCTTTCTTTCTCTCTGTCTATCTGCACGCGGCGTACACGCGGGCCACCGGCAAGAAGTAGACAATTCACAATTAGCAAACACAAACAGAAGTACGAGTGGCTTCAAGTTGCTTGGGACGCGGTGGCAACGGGCTTAGCCGGAAGCAAACGGTGGGGTAGGGACTTCTGGGATGCGAAGCGACTAGCTTGGCAGTCCCTGAGCGTCAGCCTCCGCTCCAGAATACTCTTCTCAACTCCCGGACCGACAGAGACCGGCGAAGGCGCATGTATGTTCTGGAGATAACGGGTGTACCGTCGACTCTTACCGTTGTTTCGCTAATTCTACAAATTGATTTATCGAAATTCAACGAAACGAGCAGTCGATAAACACTTCGACAGATGTATATCCAACTTTTTGTCACTTTCTTCATCTCCTTTTGCTGGTTTCTTTGAACGTTCCGTTCATGTTTATATCGAACTACGGACACAGGGTATATATCTACGGAGGATTCAGTGTACTTGTATACACCTTGACGATAATGGTAGACGATGTTCTAAAGACGTCTCAGAATATCGCCTCCTCCGATTGATCAATTGTACGATTTACCAGTCCCGTCTGACCGTACACCCGGTATATACGCGCATCGGGCTCTCACCGTTGCGTTGGAACACTTGAAGCCCCAACCAGTTACGGCAACAATAGGCTTTGTCTTCGCGCCGTCGGCGCTCGCAAATTGGTAGAAATCTTGATTAAAGGTGCAATTCCGCTGCTGCCTACGGACAAATATGAATTGCACCCCCAATGCTCCCACCCTCTCTCTCTCTCTCTCTCTCTCTCTTTCTTTCTCTACCTTCGGCCCCCCTCTTTTTACCGTTCCGACAAATGAAAATGGAAAAAACGTGTTGTGCTATACTTCTTACGGCGCGACAAGTCTGCGGCTTTTCGAGGATCATGATACTACTACCCCTTTGAATATCAGACACTGTCACATTAAGGATATTATTGCTGGTAAAGTGGTGGAGAACCGTTTCGCTCGTTGTTTCCGTCGTCGAAAAAAAATCATGCTTGTTTCTCCGCCGTGTGCCTCGCCTCGTTTCACCCGTCGTATTAAGGAAGATGGGTGTATTTATTGGAACAGGGCGATGTATCCGTCGACACGCCGGTGATTCGATTTCGTTTACGGCGTACCACGAGATAATCCGATTGCGAGATTACACGGCGATTCGGATCGATAGAGCATGATCCCGGCAATGGGTAAGGGAGGAATAGCAAGACACGTATAGAAATGGAATAATAACGCGTTGTATATGACAGATGCGACAGGACCAATTGCGATAATCCGCCTTCGGCTTATCCCTTTTTCCAGCGAACCCTTGATAATCGACTGTATCCCATCGAAATTACTCATTAACATTTTCCACACGTTCCTCTATCCCCGGTAAACGTCTATCATTTTCCTTCCTTTTTCTCTCTCTATTTGTTTGCGGTCGTGTTGCGCGAATCTTCGTTCGATTTGGATTTATTTTGCGACACGTATACAAAATGTATTTTTGCTGCTCGATCGAAATTCGAAAATCGAGAGATCTTGACTTTACCCCAATTCGAATCCCTTAAACACGCATCAATAGACCCGGAAGGCTTCGACGTGTTCCTGCTCATCCCGTGCAGAACACACATCACAAAACTGAGTCAATTTACATAACGATAATTGAGATGTACATGAAAGGCCGTTCCCGAGTCACGGCAATACCATCTGTAAACGGGCTTTGAATTTCGAAAAGCGTATCAATATTCCTGTGCAATGCCCCCCATGTATCGCGGTCCAGTGTGAAACTAGACGTTACTTTATTCGCTGGAGCGAATTTCTGTACGTTGAATTTACACGAAGTGGAATTTTTTTCTGGGAGTTGTTTCGCGAAAATTTTATGGGGAATCGACGGGAATTTTGGGTAATTTTAATTATCTATTCATTCGGTAAACTGATCGAATATATTTTAGGGAGAGGAACATTTGTAGCAGCAAATTGGAGGATATTGCCATCTAAGTAAAAATTAGAAAGTTTTTTTCAGTGATTCGTGTTTACCATCTAATGGTAACATGAGTGATTAATTTATAATTATACGAATTATAATATAAATAACAGATCTATGCGATTGATAAAAATGTTTTGTTACTTGTTCCATTGGTCTATGATGATTTGTTGGATTTTTCTTTCGATGTCTTTTTATATCTTATTTAAGAGGTATTTACAGTTACTTTCGGTTGCAATTCACTCGGAACAAGTGTTTAAGGATTTTTGTTCAATTTTTATTTAAGATGCTATTCAATTTTGAGAAATTATTTTGCAAATTACAAGTTAGCATCTAAGCTACGTTAATTCTGTTCCATACCGCTTACGGCAGTACTGTTCAGATCTAAGCTATACCTAAATTTACGTCCATTCAAGGAAACATCCGGGGGGTAGGCTTTATGTGACTGCTTACTCACGTAATACACGGTATGTAATTAGAAATAAGTGCTTAGTTTAAACATACTTTTAATACCATTTTTTATAGAATTATTATTCTCTCCTCTGGACATTCTATAGTGCAAAAAGAAACGGAAATAAATAATTTTTTTAATTTATCTGAGAAAATATTCTACTACATCGATACTCCAACAGATTTTATGTTGTTTTACAGATACCGTTAGAAACTAAGAAATCAATATTATATATACTCCATGGATAGCTCTCTGCCTTGTATTCTCACTGGATTCATATTCTATGCCTTCGGTTTAAAGTGGTGTTACGAATATGCTAAATATTGGATATCTCTGAGAGCTAGAGATGATTCCAATTCTACCAAAGGTTTAAGATTTATGGAAAAATGTGAGAGACTTATAAACAGACACCCTATCGAAGGAAGCTTGAAACTGATAGCAACAGCTATAGGGTTAGCTGGAACAATAACTGGTGGTTTACAGCAAGTTGGAACTGTCTCTCCCAAAGTTGTACTTGCTACAATCTATCTGTTTTTTGCATTCTCCGGTCTTGTTGATGTATTGAACTTTTACTTTCCTCACAATGTAAGCGAAGGTTTGGTAAAATTGGCACTTGCCCAAAGCTTCTTCATAGAAGGGTTTTTGTTCCTATGGGGAAGTGTTGGGAGCAATGCGATAGTTGATAAAATTTTGGCCCTGATAGTATGGACAACAGCTATATCTATTATTTTGGAACTTGTGTGGCCTGAGTTGAAACTTCTAAGAGCTTGTACAACGTTAATCCATGGTAGTTGGGTAGCACACATGGTACGTGTGTATAATACAGTGCCAATGTTAGGAGAGGGTATTGCTCTGGTGTTTACTTGGCATGTAGCTGCTGCTTCAGCTGTGACATTGTCTGTAGTATCGGCAACAAGAAGCTGTGCCCCCAAGCTAATAATGGAAGAACCACCAGAGATACCCATTTATGATTACTGCCAAGAACCAAATCAGAGAATGTAAAACTCTGAAGTCAATATAATATAATTTTGTGCTAATATCAAATTTCTACAATGTGCACAAAAGTAATATTTTTAGAGTAGTATATTTATAGTACTGTAGTGCCAAAAAATCAAACTGCACGAACCAATTGCAATTTTTACACAGTATTAGTATTTTCTTACTTAATATTTATAACTTCATTTTATAATACAATGGACAACTCTATTTTTGACTACATTTATACACACGCGATAGCATAAACAATTTTGTAATACCCCCAAAATTGTAGCTAAAATACTCATTAGGAATTAAGAGGTGCCTTATTATTATTGCTCACTTATTTATTAATAGGAGAACGCGTCATTTCACATTTTGTAATAAGTTTTTCTATTCTACCATATACCTACTGTATGTGCCAAAAATATCATGTAATCGTACCTTGTAAATAAATCATTTTATTAAAGTTATTATAATCCATAAACCATTGCAATTTATTCAATGTTTTTTTACCATGTAATTTTTTTCTTTTAAATATAACATATCCAAGAAAAAATTTACGATTGGTTTTTAAATTCGGTATAATACCAACGTTAACACTGAACATGTTTCTATGAAGTAACTAGAGTTCCTTGAATAACTAGGTGAATCACAAATTATAACTAGTGTTATTCTTTTCTCCATAATAACAGTAAAGTCAGGGGTTGGTTAGCTGTTCAACTGTAGTATACAATATGATAATAATTTTGCATTATTTAAAGTATTTTTCTATTGTTTAATTAATTTCTACTTGCTGTGAATGTGCAATGTAGCGTGTTTTATAGTCAGTAATCATGGCTTGATGTCATTAAAATTGACTTTTTAAGTGAAAAAATAGGAAAAATGGAAACAATAATTGTAGAACCTATGGAGGAGAGTCCTGAAAAACTCCAAACAAGTCCTCCAATACAAGTTGTACGAGTACCAGTAAAACATGCTAATCTTGGCATAAGGAGCCATGCTATGTAAGAGAATAGAAAAAAATGATTGCTTCCAATACAACTGATAATTCATTGTATTTCAGGGATATGAGCACAATGGTAGAACTTACTTCTTTTAGCACACTTGGAAAAATACAACCTTTCCTAGTTACAATAACAACTACTGCAGCTTTATTGGTAGATTTACATTGTCATTTAACAGATAAGGAAATTTGTGGCTATCTAGGTGGTCATTGGGATATTAATTCACACAGTAAATATTCGTATAATGCTTATTGGAATCAGTATGCATTTCTAGATACTGAAAATTATATTTCCTAATACCAGATCTATCTATAACAACTGCCTTCCCATGCCGGTATTCTGGCAAAGACAAATCAGCTGCAGCAGCAGTGGAAGCTGAAATTGCAAGGGCTATGGAATGGAAACGTGTGACTTTAGTTGGATGGTATCATTCTCATCCTAGATCTCATGCTTCTCCTTCCCTGAGAGATGTTGACTCTCAATTAGACTATCAAATTAAAATGAAGGGACCTAGTGACAATGGGTACACACCATGTGTAGGATTAATATGTTGTAAAATATCTCTTTTATGCTTTGATTTATTATATCAAATTTTATGATTATGATTTTCACAAATTCAAAGGGAATATTGATTTCAGCTCCTTACAATACAGATGGAAGTTGTTATGAATCTAACTTCAATGTTTTTTGGTCTTTACCACCCCCTGAAAATCGGCCCCATGAATATCCAAGGCCAATGCTTTTAAGTTACACACTATCTCAAGAACATTTTCTTTCTCAAGATACTTTAGAAGAAATTGTAAGATTATAATTATATTCACTTGCTTATTTAGCAAAGATAGTTTGAAGGTTACCAAACATTGTTTATTTCAGAGAAGATGTATAGAATATTATAGGAGTGAAGGAGGTATCGATTTTACTGCCAATTTTAACAGCAATACAACTTATCTCGAACGTTTAAGGGTAGGTATATAAAAAACGAAATAAGAATAATATTAATAATATTAAAATACCTTGGCATTTCAATAGTGTTCTTTAGCGTCCAAGTTACCCGGTCGTAATAGATCGAGCGGTTCGTATTGGGATGTGATTAGGGAAATGATTTGTCCTGGATCTGAGGATGGGGGATCACCTGAATTTCTTGCTATGAAATTCCCACTGGTTCCAGTGTCAGAACCATTGGTTCCTTCAGTTCCACCAGGAGTTGGTCTTGCACCCAATAATGCAGCAGTCTTCCTTACACCAGTCAACTTTAAGCCTGATGGCGCCATAATTACACCCACATCAAAACCATTTGTCATGCAACCATCAACTTCCAGGGATAACATTAAAAAGGACATTTTGACAGATACCGCGTCCATCACACAATTAAAAGATGGAAATCCTACATCTAAACATATATCACCATCAGAAGTGATACCTAGTTTTCAATCTGGAGAACTAACAGTTTCTGTAAAAAATACCAAATGCGACTATGATTTCGCGCCAACTGATTTTTCGAAAGTATCCAATTCTCTCGGCACGGATACCGGTGTGAATAAAACACGGTCATCTACAACACCCGATTTTCCTTTAGCCGATATAACGCAACAAATTTCCAAATTCTCAGATTTATCAAAGTTAGCTAATTTTTCTACGGCGGATTTAGCGAAATTGTCCGGATTTCCTATCGCAGATTTTACGAGAACGTCGTCACCATCACCGTCTACATACATGCGTAATATCGCGAATTTATTCGGTCCTATTGGTAAAATCTCTCCTGCGAGAGATATCGAAGGCAATGAACGCAAATCGAACGATTTTGCAATGGTTGACCCACTTCCATCCCCATTTAAAACAAATACTGTCTCTTCAGAATCTTGCAGGAATTTTTCTGTAACGCCAGAAGATTACTCGACAGATCGAAAGAAAATGGATGTGCAAAACGATAACTCGAAGCTTAATCGATCGAACGAGTATCAAGGAACTGAAGATCTATCGATTTCAAAGTCTGAATTTGGCGGGATGTTGGACATGACTACAATGCATAAAAAACAATCGCAAGGTGGTGATATTGTCGATTCGTTAAATTTATCGAAAGATCGTCAGTAGATTTGACACTGATCAGTATTTTATTATTCTTATCATTTCTACACGTTTGTTTTCTACTGTCCGTCTAAAATTGTCTGTGTAAACGTATTTAAATGTGATTTATACTTTTATTTACTACTTGTGTTACGTGTTTTTGTAACTGAACAAATCCAATATCAACAATTTTCATATTTGTTGTACTTCATAAAGCAATGTTTTTTAAAATATGTGTTCCTTCATTTCTAGAACTGTAACCTCTTTTATTCGCAAACGTAATATGTTGTATATATGTACGTATAAAAACATAGTGTATAACTTACGATATACTATGCACACAGATAAAATTGTGAACAGTATTGCACCATTTTACGTAGTAGTTGCTGGGTATAAGAATAAGTAAGTGGTAAATAATCAAGTCTTTCAGAGAATATCAAATCCAGTGTGCGTGCTATTGAGAAAGAAAGTTATCATCGGCATTCGTATAGGTTATTTTAAACGTATTTTACTTGAAGTTGAAAACAAACTCGCGTACTGTAGTTGTTAGGTTACCTGCAGTTAGAACATGCTGCGTTCTAGCATTTGTGCATACTTCAAATAAGTTGTGTTTTTATAAGAATTAACATGTTCCGGCCGGCGAGAACTTTATTATCTACGTTAAATCGTGTCAAAGAATGCCGTGCAGTACACGTTGCTAGTCAGAATTTAGCGGAAATTACAGAATATGAATGTAAGTTTACAATTTTATGTGGTTATAGTAAATCGTGAATTATTTTATGTAAATATGTCGTTAAATTAAAGCTGTCATTTCGGACGAGTACAAAAGAGGACCTGCAGAAGGCAGGGCCCTTTATTTGGATGCTCAAGCCACTACTCCACTGGTAAATCTGATGTAGAAAATTAATATAAAATTTTTTACAACATAAAATGAGGTTTTTTTTATCATTTTTAAATAGGACCCACGAGTACTAGATAAAATGATGCCTTATTTAACATCACTGTATGGAAATCCACATTCCAGAACCCATATGTATGGGTGGGAAACAGAAGCTGCTGTAGAAGTTGCTAGAAAAGTTAATATCGTATATGATTTTAATTTGTAATATTAAACAAAAATTGTGAGTTGACAGGATGACAATTAAATGTTTTATTTTCATTAGCAAGTAGCAAATTTAATTGGTGCTGATAGCAAGGAAATTATATTTACATCTGGTGCAACAGAATGTAATAATATAGCAGTAAAAGGTATAGCAAGGTTCTACAAAGGAAAAAAGAATCATATTGTGACAACCCAGATAGTATGTTAATTATATATGGAAATGTTAGTGAAATATCATGTACTGTCAAGAATATATTTTTATATTTAATTTTATTGATATAGGAGCACAAATGTGTATTAGATTCCTGTAGAGCCTTGCAGGCAGAAGGCTTTGAAGTAACTTATATTCCAGTAAATCCAAAAGGCCTTATTGATATAAATCAACTAGAAGATGCAATTAAACCAACTACTTCTTTAGTTTCTGTTATGATGGTAAATAATGAAATTGGTGTGCAACAGCCTATTGCAGAAATTGGTGCTATTTGTAGGTAAGGAAAGATATATTATGGGTTAATAATAGTGATAAAAATTTGTGTTTAAGGATAATGTTAATGTTACAGGAAGAAGAAGGTGTTCTTTCACACAGATGCAGCTCAAGCAATTGGCAAAATTCCAATTGATGTTAATGCTATGAATATTGACTTAATGTCTATTAGTAGTCACAAACTATATGGTCCAAAAGGTATTTTTGAAACATTTTGCTGTGGAATGTTTCACATTTAAATAATAATTGTTAATTGAATTTTAAGGAGTTGGAGCTTTATTTGTGAGGAGAAGACCAAGGGTACGTGTAGAACCAATTCAAAGTGGTGGTGGCCAAGAAAGGGGTATGAGGAGTGGTACTGTTCCAACAGCTTTAGCAGTAGGTCTAGGAGCAGCTTGTAATTTGGCACAAACAGAAATGGAGGTAATTTTAATTAGAAACGGAATATATTTCGTTACATAGTAGTACTTAAATGAATTTGTTATTTTTTCTCAGTATGATCATAAATATATCACAATGCTTTCGAATCATTTGATCGATAAAATAATGACAAATTTGCCACACGTTATACGAAACGGAGATGAAGTAGCTTGGTATCCTGGATGTGTGAATTTATCCTTTGCATATGTAGAAGGTGAATCTTTATTAATGGCCTTAAAAAATATTGCTTTGAGCAGCGGTTCTGCTTGTACTAGCGCAAGTTTAGAGCCTAGTTACGTATTAAGGGCAATTGGAACATCAGAAGATCTCGCACATTCCAGTATTAGGTAAATTACTAGAGGTGTGCGAGAACCCGAAAATATCGGGTCAAAAAATCAGGACGAGTTCCCGAAAATTTCGAGATTCCCAATAGTGTCGGGATTCATATTATTAGGACAATGTTTCTGCACGTTTTGTTATGATTTATGTTATGTATGTCTGTGTGTCAGTAACACGGATTCGTGCGATTAGATGTAAACACAGCGACTGCGTAAACATTGTGTACGCTGGAATCTCGACTCGTTCGGGAGTCCCTGACATGACTTGAACCCGAGCATCGGGTTTTCGCACACCTCTGTAAATTACGTTTACGACGTGGTATTGAAATGAAGTTGACGCAATATCTCAATGATTATTTATTTGTATAGATTTGGTATTGGTCGTTTTACAACTCTCGAAGAGGTTGATTATACTGCTGAACATACGATTCGGCATGTTAAAAGACTTCGAGAAATGAGGTACATCTTATTCAGTTATGATAGATTTATTTAGTATGAAGGCTTGGTTGAACTAGTTTATTTACTCAAGTTTTGCTGAACATATTAAAAGCGCGTTAATTATAACAAACGGAGGGAATAGATTCATTGTTGGACGTTTTTTATAATTAAGAATATATAGCCTTAAATATTGCTTGCAGTACATGAATAGTGACGCTTAATTGAATTATTTATTTCGCAGTCCATTATGGGAAATGGTTCAAGAGGGAATTGATTTGAAAACTATCAAATGGACTCAGCACTAGTGGCTTTTTGCCATATATCCTTAACTATTTCATTATGTAGATAGTGTGGATTAAATGATACTGACCGTAAGTCACAGAAATAGATGAAGCCTAATTAAGTAAAATCGTTTTCATTGTGTAATAAATGTTTATTTAAAATCAGTTGCTTTGGCAATTTTTAGGTCTGACTATAATTGTATATCAATTTTTTATGAATATTCCCCCAGTCCCCTCATTTTTTACCTTATGATACTTTCCCTCATAGGAAAGTGTCATTACAACTATTTGATATAAAAAGATACCTTAATTCTTCACACCTTATAATTGTGTGTTAAGTAGTTTCAAGTTATAAAAATGTTGCATTAGGAGCATATACTTGTTAATGTTCATTACCTAGCACAAACATGATGGATCAGCAGCTTCATCAATATATGAAATTTTAAACCTGTCTTTATCCATTTCATGCAATTCCATGCGTGATCTGTTAGCTTCAACCAAATGTTGTGCTATATCTTCAAACATTTCATGTACTCCCTCCCCAGTTTTACATGATGTCTTGTATATGCCAGAAATTAAATTGTGACATTGTTCACTGTAAGAAGTAATACAGTATTTTTTGTTAATATGTATATACATGTTATGTATCGAGTAACTTTCATATTGTGGTTAAACCCACCAGAATTGTTCCATTTCTGCATCTGTTACTTGTGGAGCTGTGCTTTCCAAATCACTTTTATTTCCACAAAGAAATATTTTTGCATTTTCAGCATATGTGACAATATCAAGTAAATGCTGGGATAAAAGGTGAAAGGATGTTGAATTGTCTAATGCAAAAACTAAAATAGCAGCTTCTGCAAATTTGTAGTAACTTGATGTTACCGATGCAACTCTTTCCATACCACCAGTGTCCCATAATTGTAACTGGAATACATAATAAAACAAAAAGTTCAATATAAATAGTATTACATTGTACATCTAAAATAAATAATTCGTCATTGTATAACAATTTATTTACGTATCATTTATTTATAAAAATGTACGCATAGGAAAGGATTAGTGTACGCATTAGTCTTGTTTAATTTGGTTTCAAGGATCATAAACATATATATATATATAGACATATTACTCGTATTCGTCTGTCTTCAACGACGTATTCTTTGTCAATATTATCGAGACCGAGTGTCGATTTTCGATCGTTGCTCGCTGTAAAACTATTGTTCGCGAAACGCCTAAATATAGAAGTCTTCCCAACACCGTATTCCCCGCACAGAATGACTTTCTGTTCAGTTACTTTAACAGTAGCCATGTTTGGGCTATGTCACTTCGCCGGTTGTACCGAAATACAGAAGCAACAGCATCACTAATAATAAATCATCATTCTTGTTTGCATTTTCCGCGATGATGCGAACATTTTATTCGATGGTCATTCGCCTGTGCACGGTTACTAACACGAGCGCGATGACAGTCGTGACAATAGAAATATTACATCAGTACCGGACCATAAAACACTACCACCATAGAATACCTGTTCGCATCAATAAGGTGCAACAGAATTTCTAATGAACTTGCAAATCGCTCTCGAGTAGAATCGAATAATTGTAATGTACTTTTAATGCGATTATTATTGAATTTCACGAATTTCGATACGTTCCGAAACGTCTACTACGCACTTTCTAACTCTACAACGACAGTTACTGTTATTTCAATTGCGTGTTAGTTTGTGCATTGAACATTAAAACACATGACCAGTAATTAACTCAAACAATCACACGAGATTTCACTTTTACGATGATCGAATACATAGATAATAGTACACGAAGTCAATGTACTTTCGGGGAAAACTTCAATATATTTTTCCCGCAATTTTTTTAACCACATTTGAAAATCAATCGATTATATTTAAATAAACCTTGCGATACGATTCCATGAATTTTTTCATGTATCAAAGTTTCGATAAAATTAAAATAATTACGTGTTCTGTGTAAATCGATTGCATAAAGTATACACTTCAGTAAATCAAAGTTAACTTCAAATTGTTGGTTACATAACGGAATTTTAAAAGTCGACACGTACGGTGCTGCCGCCTACAACATATTAACGCTGAATTTGCCAGTGTAGTGTGTGTGTTCAGTCCTCAGCTGTTTAGATTTCTTGTTTGACGTTAATTATTTCAATGTTGCCGCGTACTTTTAACGCAATCGTTTCTATATCGTTTTTTTCACTGTGGAAATAACGAACTTTCGTCATGGTGCTAAACGAAGTGGATAAATTTCTCCACGAGCTAGAGAAAGCCGAATTGGAGGTGAGTGTATACCGTTTGAACGACCAGTAATATAGGTTATGCCGACTATCGCGATCGGTTCTTACCGAAATCACGATAAATACTTTCGTTACTAATTTATCGAACGTTTCTTTACAGGCGCCTGGCGGAGTCGCGACAGCACAGACGTATGCTCAATTATTAGCCGTATATCTTTATCAAAATGATCTGTGAGTACGAAAAGCATATCTCCTCCGTTTCGTTCTTCCTTCTCTTTTTATTTTTTTTTTTTCTTCGAAACGTCGATGAAAAGACGAATTAACCATCTCTACTAAAAGATCCGTACGTCTTACTGTGCAAACTTTTAACACGTTATATTTGTGTCATTTTTTTTATAAAATTGTTTTTATATATT